CACCGTGGAGGTCCCCCTGCGGATCGATGGTGATGCCCTGCGGGTGCTGGCATGCTGGCCTGGGGACACGCCAACCGGGCACCGTTCGGGGCTGGGCACCTGCTGTCTGGAAGTGCCCTCTCCAGGGACGGACTTGGAGGACTGGACCAGCACCGTGGGTGTGATGGAGTGGGGAGGTGGTGCACGGTGCCTGGTTCCGGGCAAAGTCCTCCAGCACCTGAAAGAGCTCCTTGTTTCAGCCATTGTGCACTGCCAACGACAGTTCCTGCTTCAGCCAGGTGCGTATGCCGGCTGGGTGCTTGCCTGGGTGGGAGCTGCCTCCAGCACAGCTGGGGAGCCCAGCTTGGCGGTGGGCCCTGTGCAAATGGGCTGGGGCATAAGTCCAAAGCCTGCACGAACGAGCAAGCAAGTGCCCTGCCATGTGCTGGGACAGGCTTTGCCCTCAGCTAAGGAAGGGCAGATGCAAACTACTCCCTGCTGTCCCACGGTAGCAGAGTCATCCTCGGGCATCTTCACCCTGGGCTGATGGCACCCTCCTTGGTGGGTGGCAGCTCCATGGAGGGTTCACCCAGCCCTGCCATTAGTCCCCAGGGAGGGTTTGCTCAGGGACTTTGTGTGCTTGGCTCCCCCTAACCATGTTCCCTGTCTCTCCTGGCCTCTGATGCCCCCTGCTCCCTGGAGGAGGTTGTTTGGAGGGCGAGCAGGAAGCACGTCAGGGTTGCACCAGGACCTGGGGGCATGGGTCTGAGCCTGCATACATACGGGTCTCAGCTGGGAACAGCGTCCTTGGGAAGGAGATGGTGGGGAAGGGACCCTGGGAATGCCTGTAGGCGTCCCATCAACTTTTTCACACATTTCCATCTCCAAAGGTGTTTCTTGAAGTAAATCTCAGCCCTGATGGAAATGTGATGTGAGAGGACCAGCGGGTCTGAAAGTGTCTTAACCCAGCCCCAGCAAGCCTGCCATTTCCTCCTTCCTCCTCAGCCAAGCCAGAGCCCTTCATCTTCTTCTGCCCCCACAACCTGAGACCTTTCCTGGTCCTTTTTTCTTGGACCACATTGTATTTCTTGGCACTGTTCAGCCACCCAGCAGCATGGCCTCGTCCGGCTGCTTGAGGCTTCCTTCTATGCCCACACCCACTAGCCTGGCCCTGAGCCCTGCTGGAGCGATACTTCTTCGAACCAGCGGGGTTCGAAGAACGGCTTTCACCAGGGAACCACGGCCAAACCACAGCATTGGAAAGGGATGAGTCGAGTGGGGTGGGACGTTGCCCACGGGTGTTGTGGCACATACCCGGTCCAGCCTGCGGGACCAGCTGCGGTGACCTCCTAACCACAGCCAAACCCTCTGCATCTAGGTGACCTCAGTGCTGAAAATCTGAAGGAAGATACTATGGAGCTCTCCCTGCTGATCCGCGGTGGCTGGAAGACCGTCCGCTTTGACATCGTCCCTGTGGTGAGGAGGCAGCAGGAGCCTCTACGGCTCAAGGGGCGGCAGAGCGACAGGGGCTTCCCTGAAGGCAGCCTCCAGAAGGCCACAGAAGAGGCCCACTTTGTCCCTGCCTCTCCCCACTGCTGGAGGTGAGCGGCTTGGCTGCATGCGGCATGGGGTGACCCTGCCCCAGGGATCCCCCCCTGGCTGGCGGCACTGCCGAGTGTAGGCAAAAAGGGGATGGAAAAGTGGAAGGGACGTGTCAACAGGAGGGTGAAGTCACCCCCTCGTGATGCCCAAACCTGGGGAAAAACCCTCAAAAGTCAGGCAGTTCAAGAAAAGGGGGCAGGGGGGGATGCAGCTGAAGGAGGGCCCCCCCAGATTTTTCGCAGGAGCTGAATCCCAGCCGCACGGAGGGGGGCAGCTCTTAGATTGCTGCTCAGGCTTCGGGAGTGAGCCTGGGCATCTGGCAGCAACAGGGTGACAAGGTGCTTCCCAGGGCAGGCTGTGGGTGGGAGGGGGGCCAGGGTGATACACATTTCACCTGCCAGCACAGCTACCCAGCCCTGAGGAGGGGCTGAGCATCCGGCTGGACCAGCCCAGGCTTATTTTGGCCACAATGTGGTCCAGCCAGATGCTCAGCCCCTCCTTGGTGTCCAGTCCAGCCTCCCCTCCAGGGCAGCCTGCAGCCCTCCCTGCTGCACGTAGAGGAGCACAACCCCACTTCCCCTCCCTTCCTGTCCCTCCTGGGAAGGCAGGAGCTGCTCAGCAGCATCCCCATCATGCTGCAAATCTCCCCTGTCCCTCTTCACCGAAGGTGGGTGTTTGAGGTGGATCCAGGATACTGCATGCCTGGGGCCATGTGGGTGGCCAGGTCACTGCAGGTATCCTCTCCCCAGCTGGGAGGATGCAGGTCTCCATCTCTCAGTGGACCCCACTTTCTCTGGCCAGATCCTCTACTCACCTCCCCATCCTTAAGCTGCTCCAGGCAGTGGACACACTGAAGGGACCCCGTCTGGACAGCCTTCGCCTGCTTGACCAGCTCCGCAGCCAGGACTGGGGAGAGGAGGGTGGAAAAGGTGCTCTCACCTTCAACCAGCTGAAGGTAGGTAGGTTCTGCTGGTGGGAACCATGGCTCTCTGGGCAGGCAGAGCCAAGGCTGCTCCCCCACATCCCGCCCCAGCCAAGTCACTGCTGGAAGACGATCCCAAGCAACAAACCCAAGTTCCTGCAGTGCTTTGGGGTGTACCAGCCCATAGCTGTGTCCAGAAGGGATACACATCACTGGCGATGGTTAGAAGGGTTTGATCCTTCTTCCTTGAACCAGCAACCTCCAGCCTTAAACCCCCTGACCATGAAGAGCTGGAGCTCTGAGCTGATGTGCCAGTCATCCCATGACACAGGCTGCCTGTGTCTGCAGAGGACATGCTGGGGATTGCATGGCCGTGCCTGCCTGCTACACTGTCGGTTGTCCTGTGCCTCAGCGTGCTGGGAGGTGCCCGTGCAGGGCTGAGGGTGGCGTCTCTCCTGACAAAACCCTTCTCTCCCCACCCAACCTGTTTTCAGCATGCTGGACCCACGCCAGCTGGTGACACCGGTCAGGAAAGGGGCCGTGCTGGGGGCAGCACCTGGTGGCACAATCCGGGTGTGCCCTGCCTTGTGGCGGCTCTCTGGGCCGGGGTGGAGAAGGAGGCAAAGTCATCTTCTGCTGAGAGAATGGCTCCAGCCATAACCCAAATCCTGTGTGTTTCGCTTTATGTTGTGCTCTTTTATTTTTTTTTTAATTTTATTTTTTAAAAAAAGGCTGCAGTATGCATCTGTCCTTCCAAAAAAGCATGTTCTGCTCCAGCCCGCTGCATGTGTCACCCATTACGCCATGTCACCAAGAGGCATTAGTGCCGAGGAAGCTGGCATGGCAGCTGCTGGGGATCCACCTGCCTTGCCAGCAGCCGATGGAAACCACAAGCAGGGTTTTTCACTATCGCTTGGTGCCTGCAGGAAAGCTCGGGTGTGTTGTTTCAGAGCTGCTGCAGAGCTGGGACCTCCCTCAGAGCTGAGACAGGGGCTCTTCAGGGAGGGAAGCAAAGCGTCCAAACTAAGGGGTGGTCGGGCTTCGGCTGCGCCTTCAGCAGCCGAAGCGGCACCTCCAAGAGCCTGCGCAGCCCTAGGCTACTGGGGGTGTGATGTCTGTGTTGAGGGCTCAGCCCTGCCACCTGCAGGGTGTGAAGGCACGGCCACTGTGGGGAGTGCCCCATCCCACACCCTTCTCTCCCTCCCCGCAGATGGTGCTGCTGTGGAGCACGGAGCTCTTCCCTTCCTCAGAGGACTGGCAGGACCTGGAGGGCTCCGTCTACAGGCTCTTGGTGATCCTCCTCCGCTGCCTGGCCATCCAGCGCCTGCCCCATTTCCTGCACCCGGAGGAGAACCTCTTCCAAGGAAAGCCGTGGGATCTCGCCTCCCTCTACCATAAGGTGGAAAGCTTCGCCCAGGACCCCCCCCGCTTCCTCCGCTTCCATTTTGGCCTCCCTGCACGCACTGACAGCTGGCAGGCAGACGCCGGCACCCGAGCCCTCCTGCAGCTCCCCGACAAGGATGGGTCCTACTGGGACACAGCCTACTTTGATATCCTGCTCAGCCAGGTAACAGGGACCGGAGACCCTGGGCTGGTCTTGTGAGGCAGGGTGCGGCAGCACCAGAAACCACCTGGGCTGGGCAGCTTAGGATGTGCTGGGAGTTGCCCCCCGCCCCCGGCCCCGAGACCTCTGGCCCTTGGTAGCCACTGGCATGTGCTGCCCAACCACTCCGTGGAGGCTGCAGGAGGCCGGTGATGCTCAATGGGGCGCGGGCTCAAGCAGAGTGTGCAGCCCTTTCCCCTCACTCCCCACCTGCCTCCACTTAGTTCCAGGTGTACCGGATCCAGGATGGCGCCCGCCACTCGGCAATGTCCCAGCTCCTCTCCAAGATCCAGCGAGAAATCCCCCAGCAGAGCTGAGCGGGACCCCCTCTGCCACCACATCTGGATGTCTCGAAACTCGGGGGGCGGGGGGTGTGCGCAAGGCGAGCTACGGGGCCAGGGAGCAGCACGCTGCCATGTTGCTTTATTGAGGAAAGATCGTACTGGAGAGAGAGCACACATCTGCTGGAGCTGCATGGGGATGCACAGCCTCGTGGCTCCCCTGGTAGAGCTGGGCGCCGGGGTAGGTGTTTCATCCCATGGTGCCTAACTGGGGCAGGGGGGGCAGGGGATGGTGTCCTGTGCTGTGGGGCTCTGGTGCTGGGACAGCTGAGGGTGGTGGCAGTGGGAGGGGAAGGGACCTGCGGTTGGATCCTGCATCCAGCCCTCGTGTCCAGGGGGAGAAGTGACCCTGCACGGGGACTGGGAGAATGTGTTTTGAGCCATGTCCCATGTTTGCCAAGCTGCAGCCCTCACCTCCACATCCCCTGCTCTTCCAGCTTCTCCTTCCCTCTCTGGCTTGGGGTGCTGGGTGTTGCAGCAGATCCTGCAGCCGGGCATGGACGGGGAGCACCGCACCGCCTCGTCCGGACCCCCCCATCCTTTGCAGGGGTGCTCACAGCCTGCTGCGGTGGCAGCGCCCAAGGGCGTCCCTCAGGGCATGCAGCACCCGGTCTACATTGCTGCTGGTCGAGTTGCAGCCCATGAGGCCGATCCGCAGGACCTGGGAGGAAAAGGGCAAGGGTCTCCCTGCAGCGCCCACCTTTGTGGCCATGTCCCGGCACTGTCTCCCTGCGAGCAGGACGCAGAGCAGGGGGCACGCGCGGAGCGGCCATGCAGTGCAGCCGGGCATGAAGTGCCTGTGCCCAAGTCCCTGCTTGCTCCTATATAACACGCATTTCCCCTAAAGACGTGTCACCCTGCTAATTACGGGCACGGTTATTCAATTACGCGCTTCAATTGTGTGTGGTTAGGAGCCGCTATGCATTGCTGCAGGCGATGAGGATGCATCCAGCCCTGTGTTTGCTGTTTGCAGCCAGAGAGCACCCGTTAATGGTGGGGTGTGGGACGACGGGTGGATGTGGCCACAGGCGGGTTGGCTGCCTGGCTGTGGGCATCGGGAGGGGAGGACACTGCCCACCTTGCCAACCGAGGGGCCCAGCCCCCCGGCGATTTCGATGGCGTGGTTGTCCATGAGGAAGGCGGTGATGTCCTTCCAGTCATAGCCCTCCGGCACCCTGACAGTGGTGATTGTGGGAAGTCTCGCCTTCTGGGGAAGGGAGAAACCGGGTTAAATCTGCAGCTCCTGGCCACAGCCCTGTCCCCCGGTGAGCCCGGCAACCTGCCAGGAGAGAGCATCACTGGGAGGGGAGAGTTTTTTCTCCTGCCACGTCTCCAGCTGCATGGGGCCATGTCCTCATGCTGCTCCTGCACCGTGGTGCTGTGCTCACCCCGTACCCACCTCCTCCTTCACGAAGAGCTCAAGCCCCAGGTCGCGCAGCCCCTGGCACAGCTGGGCACAGTTGGCCCGGTGGCGCTCCCATGAGCTCTCCAGACCCTGCAGGCAGAGAGGAGGGAGAAGGTCCCGGCACCCACTGCTCCGCCAAACCCCACTGGCACTGCTGGTGCTCCCCTGCCTGCCTGGTGCCACTCACCAGCTCCGCCAGCATGGCCAAGCCTTCCCGCAGACTGAAGAAGCTGTTGATTGGTGCTGTGTGATGGTACCTGCAAAACCCAAGGGGTGCCCAGGCAGGTTTGGCCCGGCTGGTGGCAGAGCCGAGCTGGAGGTGTGGGGGAAAACTGGGGGTGCCGCGTCCTCCCTCCTCTTCACCCAGCGCAGAGGGGTCACAAATCCCCCAGGGCCACTTCGTGACCAGCCGATGGGGTGATGGGGAGATGAGGCCTGAGCCCTGCAGATCAGGCAGCCCCCCAGCCAGGGTGAAGGCTGCAGTGGGTCAGCCATAGCCATCTGTCTGGGGACAGCCTACCCTTACCTTCGTGGCTCCCCATCGCAGCCCCAGTAGTTTGCCAGCCAGCTCATGTCGAGGTAGAAGGATGGGGGCTTTGTCTTTCTCCTGAGCATCTTCTCCCTGGCAAAGTTGGGTGCTGGGAGGAGCTGGACCTTGACCTCACCAGCCCCAGGGATCCCCTGAAGTGGGCGGTGAGCTCGGCTCCAGTACCCATTGCTGCTCAGGGATGGGCCAGGCTCTGACCCCCGCAGAGCTGCTGCTGGGCGCACGCCACCGAGTAGGGCTAGAGTGGGTGGCTGGCAAAGAGTGGTGGTGGGGGACACAGCCTTCCACCCCAGCCCCATCGCCTTTCCTCCCAGTGGGACAGGGCTGCCCTTACCTGGCTCGCTTGCTGAATGAGATGGGGGCACTGCCAGGGGGGGCGTTGAGGACTTTCTGAGACCCCGAGTACAGGACGTCGATCTCTGCCCAAGAAGGGAGGCAGCTTCTTAGGGACTGAGGGCTCCCAGTGGGGATTCCCTGAGTCCTGCCCAACCCGGCTGCAAGTGGTGGGTGGGCAGCACAGGGGTCCTGCTTGTCTTTGGCCTGCTTTGGGGGACACCCTGCCACTGCTGATGGTCCCCCGAGGGGAACAGGCTCTCTGGCTGCAGCTGGCCCAATTTCTAGTGCTGCTAGCATGAAATGTGGGGATCTGTTCCACTCCCCCTGTCCCTGGCCCAGGCGTGAGCCCTCTGGTCCCCTGCGTGCCCGTGACGGCGCTGTGGCTCTTACCCTGCCGGTCCATGAAGATGGGGGCTCCCCCAAGCGATGCCACTGCATCCACCAGCAGCAGGCAACCATGCCTGTGGGAGGACAGAGCTCAGCCTGGTGTTCCTGCCACCTCCTCCTGCCACCTGCTCCTGCCACCCCTCTGCCTGCACCCCAATCCCCTCAAGGCCGTGTGTTTCACTGGCACCAACTGCTTCCAGCACAACAGAGCCAGAGGAGAACCCGAGGCATTTAAATCCCCATGCCCCAGCCCCCGAGGGCGACCTTGGAGTACCACCAGCCCCCATGGGTGCCTGCCATGCACTGACCGGTGGCACAGCTCGCCCAGCCCCTCCAGCGGCTGCAGCACCCCCGTGGAGGACTCGCCATGAGTGATGAAGAGCACTGAGGGCTTGTGCCGTGTCAGGCCCTGCATGAAACAGAGGCAAAGGTGACTGTCCCCAAGGCTGGCTCGCACCCATTGCCCTGCACCGTGGCTGGCACTCACCTCCTCGATGTCCCACAGAGCGAAGTACTCGCCTGGGGGCTTCAGCAGCTCGTGGACATTGGCTCCTGGGAGGGATTTGAGCAGAGGGAGGCTGAGGTTTGGGCATGTCTCCCACTGGGCAGACACTTGCTCCTCTGGGGGATCAGACATGTGTGAAGCAGGCATGCAGCCGCCTGCCAGGGTCCAGCCTCCCACAGATTTGCCCAGTGGAAAAGCCATAAACCACCGTAAGCAGAGGGACCTCACCCTGGAAAAAACCTGGAGCGCTCCCCGGCCACAGAAGTTGTGTCACTGGCCAATGCTGCCGAAATGGGGGCGCGAAACCAG